AAAGTCGAAACGAAACGTCTCGAATCGTTTTTTGCGCGAACGCGGATTTCCTCGAATTTCACTGGTATCGAGTTCGGGGAAAAAGTTCGAGGGAACGGTATATATAACAACAACAACAATAATAATAATAATAATAATCGGGAATAAATATATATATGTGTATTTAAATTTCGGACAATGGAAGGACGAAGGGAGAAAGATAAATGGAAGGAGGATTGGAGGGTTGTAAAAATTTATTGGAAAGATTTGTCAGACGCGAAATAGCGTCCATTAAAAAGGTAGACGAAGGTTTCTCGCGCAACAGGTCCCCGCTTTGTTCGCGTACGCAAAAGCTGTCGTTTATGACGCGAGCTATAGCTACGTGTAATCGCGAAAGGTTCCATGCAGGTTCGCCCTCGCGCGTGCGATGGAGCGAACGATGTATACGCGGCGTGCTGGTAAGGTTAGGTTAATAAACGTAATGCGACGCCAGCAGAGTGCAACGTTGCCGATGCGGCCACCCCCCGATCTTGCTCCCAGCTGAAACGGCGGGGGCGGAAGGGCGGGAGAGAGATATATACAGGGTGTACCGTGTACTACCTTTCCATCCATCGCTTCGCTCCGACCTTCTCGTTTCTCCTACGTCCCGTACGCGAGTATTTTATTATATTTCCACCGGTCGAAAATCTAGTGGAAATTACTAAACACGGGGGATTTTTACTTTCTCGTTAACGAATAACGATATACCTCTTATTTTTCATTCGCGCGAAGGAACTTTTAACTTTTTTTGATTAAAACGAGGCGGGGGATCGGTAAGGGCCGCGCGATAAGAAGAGAAAGGTATATATGAAAATGGGGAAAGGGGATTATTTTCTCGGGAGCATCTAAAAATACAAAGGCGCGACCGGGCGCTGGCGCAAAGAATAGTTGGAAATGACCAAGCATACTAGAACGCATTGTATCGAATACTTTCTTTCCTCGCGCATGTAACGAGCACGATCGTTTTAGACATTAATTATTCTGCCATCGAGCACAATTCTCTTTTTGTCAGTGTCATTGTTCCTCGACAACCCTTCAAACCCTCTTTTCACGTTCGCAGCCTGTGGTGTCGCAATCATTTTCTATTCATTGCTCCGCTCACGAATGCAGCTTGATCGATCGATTATCCGTAAATCAAAAGCAGATCTCGCGTTATAATCCTCGCGCAAGGGTTTATTTATTTATTTGTCGCATTTCCTTAAACCGTTTTTTTTTTTTTTTTTTAATCCTCCGCGACAGTGAATTTGCAACGGACGAAACGACGAAACACTTTCTCAAAGCGATTTTTTCCCGTCTTTCTTTCGTCGAGGAAGAAGACTACTGGAGGATTATAGGAGAATTCGTGGGCCACGCGGTATAGAGGTGGGCCACGGCGTAATCGGTGCATCGCGATAGGACGATTAATCGAGGCTGGTGTGGGTGAGAAGGTGAGAAGACGGTGCAAAGATCGGCTGCACCCGGATAATAATATTCGCAGTGTGACCCTCTCGTAGCCGCAGGTGGTAGAAGGTGTATGTGTGTGTGTGCGTGCGCTCGCTCGCGAACACCTTGAAAAGAAAAGCTCGGCGCGCCTCGGTTGCATAATGCAAGGCGGGTCCGTCAACCAGTTTATCGGCCTGTCAGGTATACGGTATACCCGGTTGACGGATGTTGCCACGGGGATCGGAGAGATTCCGCGACACGCGCCCCTCCCTCTTCTTCCTCCTCGCTTCGTTTTTCCATTTTCTCTCGCCATTTTATTCCGTCCTCCATCTCCCCTCCAACATCGTTACTTTCGGCCTTTCGAAAACAAGGTTACGAATATCGTTGTACCACGTGCAAGAAGGAATACGAATCCGCGGTTCCTTAATTTGGAAGGAAACGCCTATTTTCGTTCTACATACCGTGATATTTGTCACGCGTACCGATCCAAAATCTCAAAGCATCAGCGTAGAATCCGGTATATATTTTAACATATACAAATTTTTTCGTAATTTCGTAATTCGACTTATTAATATTACATCGAAACAATTGATAGTATCGAAAATATTTCGAACTAGATTTGAAGCAAGATTATACAATTGATAATCGTACAATTCCGCCAACGATCAGCTCCTTTTCGCCAGATATCGTGTTTTTTAAATTTTTCGGAGAAGATTCATACGCAAAGCGAAATAGATATTAAATACGGCGGTTTTTTTCGTCGAGGAAAAATAGAACCGTGCGTAGAGACACAGCGTATTGTATCTGGTGGGTGACGATAGCGAGGATATATATAATATAGGGAAAATTACGCGAAATTGGAGGTCGTAGCGCGACACAGATCACGCTACGACGATGTCTCTCTCTCTCTCCCTTTCTCTCGAGGGATGGAAGGTTGACGAGGAGGTTGAAGGGGAGGATGAGACGCGGAACAATGGGAGGAGGGGGTGTGGAGAATGATATGAAAAAAAAGGGTTTAATGGTGGAGTCGGTGGTGAGTGATTTATGGGGTCTTACGGGGAGATGGCGAGTGTCTAGCGTCATGGCATTTCGTATCGCGGTCGCTACGCTTCCGGGGTGTCGTGAATCAAGCGGACACGTCGCGGCCGCAGCGCGATTATACGAGCTCGCGCACAGGACACGTAGGGCCTTTATAGTAGAGGAGGTATACATCTGTAAAAGATCGGTCCGGTCCATTTATCGTCGGTGGCCAACCGTCTCTTCCACTCGGTTGAGAGCAGCTGCAAGATTTACGAACCGCGCGCCACCGACAGATCAAATATCGCGATGGAGAAAATTTTCTTTTCCAACCCTCGCTCCCTTATCGTTCGACTCGTTTTATTTCTAACGAATATATGCTGAAACGATATAAAAAGTGAATTCGAATCTATATATATATGCGTAGTTGTGTAGTTAAACATCGAGATGTTTGATTCGAAGGAGGAATTTTATTATCGATGAAGAAAAAAAAAGCGAAGCTTAGGCGTAGGCGTCAATCTCGCGAAACGAACCGATCTGCCATCATTAAAGCGCGTTTCGAATGGGGGAAAAATGTCGGGCCGAAGACGAAGAAACGATGGAGCGGAAAGATTCGAGGAGGAGGAGGAGGATCGCCGCGGCGTGCGTTGGCAAGATACGCTTTTATGGCTCGCGTCTCCAATTTCACGTGCAATAACGAGACGCGGCGCGACTCGAAAGAGGGCTCGGATGAGAGGAGCGGGAAAGCAGCGCAGGCGTATCGACGGTGGGCGTCGATCGACGATCGAGGGAAAGATGCGCGGAACGAGATCGGTCAACGATCGGGAGAAAGGCGGGGGGGGAGGGGGAGGAAGATGATATACGTGTGGAGGAGGCCCGGAGCGTGCCCTCGCCGTTTCTACGATTCCCACGCCCACCATTCCCGACCACGAGACCGCAGAACACCGCTCTAACCACCGACATTACGTCTGAAAAACCTTGCCGGTCGGGCATTCCATCGCGGTCGGATGGGGAATCGTCCCGTCAGACGTTCCACCCTTTCATTTTCCTTCCCCTTCCCTCGACGTCCCCTTCGTTCCTACCCTTCTGCTACGAAATCGATACGCTCGAAAACTCGCCTGATAATCCGAATATAACGAAAACGAAACGAACGACGACGAGTCCTTGGATTTCTAAAACCTTTCGATAGGAAAGGTTTCTCTTGATATTAAGAAAGGGGACGTGTTAGAGCGCGAGGTCTTATTCAAGTGCGGTGAGCGCACGAATGTCTGAACGGTTATCTTTATCGTCGGGTAGCTGAATCCGACGAGTGGTGGAAGATTTTTCGCCTCGGGGATATGTTTCTCCCTCTTAACGCGAGCTCATCCATCTTTCCACCATCCACCCACTCGTTATTCGTTCTTTTCGAGTTCCAGTACGTCCTCGTCGTTGAAAATCGTCGTTAAATCGACCCACTCCCGCTCGAGAATCGATTGTCCACTGGATGGAAGAAATTAACTTCGAGTTCTTCGGAAGAGATTCCAGCTTTCGGAATCCAGGATAAGAATAATTACTATCTATCAAGGTGCCTCGATCTTATGCTTCTACTTATTTCGAAGTACGAAGGGACGAGGGGGATAACGCACGAATCGTCGCTCGACAAAGTATTTTCTCTCGTGATAATCGTATACATGTATACATCGCGAAACGTCGTTTCCCCTTAAGACCTGTTACCTTCCCAATTTGTCTCAATCACTTCTCGATCACTCGATGCTTCATAGCGAGCACTTTTTCGATCGATGCCGAATCACCCGAATCTCGATGCCGCTCGTTATATCGTGCATCGAACGAGGACCGATAGCCCTCGTCATCGTTCTCGCAAATATCGAGGATTTTCGAACGAATTTCTCGCGGACGACTTTCCCAAAAGTCTTTTAAAGAGAGAGAGAGAGAGAGAGAGAGAGAGACGAAGAAGAAGCAACAGGGTGGAAGAATGAGAGACGCGAAGTGAATACGAGTGCGAGAAGAAGAGGTAAGCAAAAGGCTGGTGTTTGTCGACGAGAGAAAAGCTCGGATGCACAAGTGCAAACGCATGCTATCGCCTGATAACGCGACCGACCGATCGATCCGATAATCCGATGACATCGAGTCAATCATTTATTACTGCGTGGAGCAACGATGAAAATCTCTCGATAAACGAGATGAACGATCGTGAAAATTATACAAATTCGTTCCTACGAGTTCTTCCTTTTCTTCTTTTAAGAAGCGAGCGACGATTCTATCCTTTTTGTCGATAATGAACACCTTCTTAATCCTTTGAACGTCGAATATGTTTGGATAAATTCGCGAATAAATGAAAATTTGCAGAATTCTTGAGGGATTTTTTTTTTTATTTTTGAAGTATTATTTTTCGCTTCGAATATCGTAGAGTAATATGAAAATTCGATGGCGTAAAACGTGTAAGGATATAAGCTGGAGCAATCTCGTCGTTGAAATTGATCCACCGCGGTCGGTGGAATGATGGATAGTTGTCGGTACGTTCGTCGGTTGCATCTAATAAATATTTAGCGTTTCATACGTGTTGGAGAGTTCGGCACGAATAACGGCGCGTGAGCCGCTCCTATTTGCTCGTGAACGAGCAAGAGGACGAGCATCGAGAGTGTACGCGGAGATGAGATGAGCGTCGCCTTCTCACGGGACGACGTTTTCTTTGCTGGAAGCGATCCGAGGTATTGGCCGGCGACGAACACGTTCAACCAAGACATGGGCGTGTCTTTCAAGTGGCGGAATATAATTCCACGTTCCTTAAAGCCTAATCTAGGTGTCCGTTCCAACGAATCGTACCTCCTTTCCTCGATTGGACATTTCCTCGATCGACATTGCGTCGCCCTTCTAATTACACAGCGAGACGAATTCATTTAGATTCGAACGAGAAGTATGACTTGCCATTCACGATTTTAACGTAAAAGTGAAGGTGAGAAATGAAAAGCAAAATGAGTTTAAAACGAAGGATTCATATGTACGAATGTATGTGTATGTATAAAATGAAAAGGAATGTACGTATAATCACAGATTCTATGTTCAATGCATTTCTTGTTTCATAATTCGAAAGTAAAAATCCTATCATTTTTTTCTTCTTTTCATGTTTTGGATTTTAAATTAACAAGGTTATTCGTAAAAGTTTAAAAGTTTTAAAAGACGTAAAAAGTTATCTTTCTTTTTGGTAAAATTTTCCGTAAACCGTGCATATTCTAGAAATAACGAGAAGTTATTCCAGTCTTCTTATGACATCACAAACAAGGATGGAAGATGGTCGAGGAAGGATAGAGATGGGATAAAAATTATGAAATCAACGCCATCTCTAGGAAACGTAAACGTAAACAAAGAAAGCAAATAATAAGAAAAGGATTAGAATCGATATAGGAATTGGCCATAGTGCCCCATCTTTCGAACGTTCTTAGAAGCATATTTTTAATATTCGATCGAGAGATGGCGCTAACGGTTAATTCTTATCTTGTCTCTATCCTTCTTTCGCTATTTTCTATCCTTTTTTATACGTTTCATTTTACGGCACTCTGGAGATGGCGCTGATTTCAATTA